AAGGATGCTAATAGTTGAAGGTCACTCCAAAATAGTAATAAGTTGGCTAAAACAGAATGAGAAGGCTCCTTGGTGTTTTAGAAACAAAATCAAACAATTCAAGAGGTTCTCAAGGGATATGCAGCTGATAATTCAATGGACTCCTAGGTCAGCAAATGGTCTAGCTGACCAACTAGCAAAGCAAGGGGTAAACAGGGCAGTGTGTTTCTGGGCTCAGTTGTAAGACTAAATATTAAATTGTCTTTGTATTTTCTTGGTGGTAGCCGAGGCTGCCTTTGTCTTGTACATTTCTCTCTAAGTAATAAAATTTGATGTTGCTGATCAAAAAAAAAAAAAAATGATACATGGATGGAGTTATGGTGGTCTCCTCCAACTAGCTCAAAACCCTACCATATTGTTCAAGGTGATCTTTGACGGCAAAGAGCTCTCTCATGGTAGGCAAAAGCTCTTCTCGGGATACAGAACTATCAGGATGCTCATGGTTAAGTAGTAGTGTCAAACATGGCCTCACAAGAAACTTCATTAGATGAATTATACTTTTTGTTCTTTGGCTTCTTCTGGAATTGGAATTTCTTGGGTTTCCAATCAAATCCCAATTCCTAACATGTCTCTTGGTATGTTGAGGCCTCTAGCAATGTGTACAGTGTACACCACAATTTGTCCTTGTCAGCTCCATCATGCCTTGTGTTACTATAAGTCTTCATACCTCCTCCATCACTCCCCTTGGCAGATACCACAATCTGCTCCCCCTGCACAAAATTCATTGCTTACTTCCTACTTTCCTCTGACTAAGAGAATACACTTTCTATATAGAGGGAAGGTACTTGCACCCCAAAATTTGTACACAGATAGATTCATATGAAGGATGGAGACCAAGGAGGAAAGCAAACACTCTACTTATCTAGCAGAGCCTTATAGGCTTTTTCATCCTTGTCATTTTCCCAATCAATATTGATGATGATCTACTTCCTTCCTCACTGATACCTTGTCACCACACTATAAGTCTCACTTGGCTCTATGACCATAGAGAAAAGAAAAAAGGGGAAGAAAAGTGCTTTCGGATTAGTCAAGATCCCCTTTTTTAGTTATAGGTCCAAACTCCAAAGAAATAAAGTTCAGGAAGAAGAAGCTTGATTCGATCAGTCCTGTTTTGATACCATGTAAAAAATAGATTCAGACCTACAAAAGTTTAAGAGAATAGAATATTGGGAGAAAAGTGACAATTGAATGTTGGGAGAATCTAATAATGTGGGCTTGGTGGTGCCACTTCTTTTATTATAAATTAGGGTGACATGATACACAAGAAAAAGACCTAAATGCCCCTGTAGGTACATGTGCAAATATTTCAACAGTAAAATATTGGAAATATTTTAAAAATTATAGACATGGTAGAAACGTTGTGAAATATGAAAAAATATAGAATGTTATTTTATGCAATGATAAAAGATGCATAGGTAGACCATTTAAATTAATCTTGTTCCAAATTATCAAAGCTAAGAAACTATGATTATTATGTAAAATAATATGTTATGATGTCCTGTAAACTTTAAGGCTCCGTTTAGTTTGTGGGATGGGGATGAGAAAAAAGGGAATATTTAATATTCCCTTTTCTCATATTGGCTTTGAGGGAAAGAGGGGGATGGGATGAGAAAAAAGTGGGATGCAAGATCCCAAAATCGCGGATTTTGGGTCACACCAAAACAATGCGACCCCAGTGAGAAAACTCGAGTTTCCATCTCCCTCCTGTAAAATGACCATGCTGAAGGCCCCACGCACATTAGCAGTGAAATTCGACAACACAATCCTGTTCAACGGCACCAACACAGGTGTCCGGCACCAATGCCACCGCCAGCGCAGAGGAATCGACACAACGGAAAAAATCCCTCGCAACGGCTAAAATCCAAAGCAACTTCCCTGTTCGGATAGAAGAAGTCAATGCTGAGAGTCCCATATGCATCTTCTCTAGCAAGTCAACGCTGAAAGCAACTTCTTCTATCTGTGTCTTTGTTTCCAATAGTTGATTCTGTTATCAAAGCAGCAGACATGGAGCCTTGTTTATAAGTGCGAACAGGGCTGCCAACCGGGCTTTGAGTACTGGGGCGGTGCGCAGCAATGGGGATGCTTGGGTCACGCCAATGCCGGCTGTTGACGGTTTGAGGGAAGGCCAGACACCATTGTTGAGACTGAAGTTAGATGAGGTGGAAGAATTTTTGACCCCCGAGTTTAAGCATAGGCTGTCGATGTGTAGGTCGAGGAAAAAGAGAGGTTGAAACGAGAAGAAGAAGGGGAGAAAGAGAGTGGGAGAGGTGGGAGATGAAGGGGGTAGCCATCGCCTCTGTTCGTCTCGAATGAAGGAGGAAGGTGAACAGTGCCATTTCGGTCCCCTTTTACACTTTCCCATCCCAATAAAACCAAACAATGGAAACTTAAATTTTTACACTTTCCCATCCCACCCAAATCTTCCCACAAACCAAACGGAGCCTAAGAGTCAAAACTACATGATAGAGTGAGTTCAAGCAAAGTTTAAACTAATAGAAAGTGCAAATGATTCTAATAGACCAACCCAATAATTTATTATACAATAAAAACTAAGATTTTAACTTAATTTTTTAAAAGAATTTTGAGATGGCTCAAAGTGATAATCATGTCCATCAGGTAGACAATGACGTTGCTACTCCACATATCTAAAATATTTTCACCAACTCCTGTTATAATTATTTTACTCCACATAGCACCGGTAGTTTTTTTAATGGGGAATATGCTGATTCCAGCAATATTTCATGTCAGTACCCATGGAAATGGAAATATGTTGTAGAAATAGTAGGAAATATATGGACATTTTAAACCATGTAAGCAACATCCATACTGACAATCACAAGAATTCTCTTTCCACCATTTCAATAGCCTAGAACCCAATCAAGGACAAAAGAGCACGAGTCACACTCAGGTGCTTAGTACTGCATTTTTTCAAATATCTGGTATGCAGTCAATATCCATGGATATTTGCTTAGTCCTTTGATTATTTGTCATGAAAAGGTTGGGGGAGTGAACTAGAAATACCAATCTTTGGAGGGCATTTTTAGCTTTCTAAGTATATCTAACTGATTATTTATTGAGCTACATAGTGCAACATCTTTCCAATTGGTGGCAGTGGATGACATTATCAGAGCTTGGTATTGATGGGGTGCGATCTGGTGCTCCCTGCTGGAGGACAGCTCGGATGTTGGGCTAGTGAAGTCGCATGGTCGAGCTGCAAGAAAAAGATGTCAGAGTGTCTGGGGTGCTTTACTCGGTGTGGGCGCTCCGATGCTCAAGTTAGCGAATTGGAGGTTTTGAGAGAGCTGAGTCGCGCGTACCCTGTAAGGCTGGATGCTAGGCCTTTATATAGGCGAACTGCCATGGGTCTCACGATGTGTGTACAAGATTGTCGGCCCATCTGGTCCGGAGTTGGTTTTGCACCCGAAGATGGACTCCGCGTAAGCTAATAATGCTTATCTAGGTCCATCCGAATCGAGCGGGGAGAAGATAAACTCCGTTGACGTGGTGTCGTGATCGCAAGGAGATTGGAGACAGCTGGCTTACTTCTAGATGGAGGTTACGTGGCACCTCGACAGATCGGTGCTTATAGTTGAGCCATCCGAGCCTCAGTCTAGCTGGGTGACCCGAGGTGCACGAGATGACTCGGATTACTGAGGTCACCGAGGTTGCTGAGGTGTCACCACATCGTTCTGTCACTCCATGTGTCATCACATCATTCGGCGGGCCAAATTATCCCTCATCAGGTATGAAGTAGTAAATTCAACTACTATGAAAGACAAAGTAGTTTTGGACTGGAAGCCTCCTCAGCCTAACAGGTTAAAGGTTAACTTTGATGGAAGCTCTCTAGGAAATCCTGGACTGTCAGGAATTGGAGGCATGTTCAGGGATGATGCAGGGAAAGTGATAACTCTGTTCTCAGGGCCGATTGTAGTTGGGGACTCTGCAAGAGCAGAACTAACAGCCTTACATCAATGTATGAAACTAGCAAAGCAGTGGGGGTTTAAGAATCTGGAGATAGAAGGTGATTCAAAATTAGTAATCTCTTGGACGGGTGACAGCAGTCCATGTGTGTGGAAGTTCAGACATATAATCAGAGAAATAAAGAGCTTAGCAAAGGATCTTGAGGCAAGATTCAAGTGGGTTAAGAGAACAGCAAATGGAATGGCTGATATTTTGGCAAAATAAGGGGTGTATAGGGATCAAATCTTTTGGGAATATTTGTAAGAATTGTAACTTTTGATAAGACATGTTTCTCATTGGTTTTTAAATCTGTATAACTTCATTTCTAATAAAGTACCTTTCGATTCCTGATAAAAAAACATCTTTGAAAGAAGGCTTCATAAGAGTTCTTTGATCAAAGTTCCTTGCCTGCCCATTGGTTACTGATCCTGTGGATCATTTTATAAAATCACCAACCCAGATGCAATTATATACTCTTACATGTCCTTCACATTATAGTCATCAATCTATAGAAGACAAAAGAATGTCCTTGTGATCCCTGAAATAATGAAATAGATGATTTTACTGATATGAGGAGATGATTGGTGGTAATGCCATAGGGAGGAGCTTGTGGTGGGCCATACTAACTGGCTTAGGTCTGCCTTTTAGTTATGCTCTGTTGACTAGGTTTGGCCATCTTTCCTTGTAACCATCTTCTTTACTTTTGATAGTAATAAAGTTTTTTATGGCCGATTAGGTAAGCCACAAATATACGGACATAAAGAATAAGAAGGGGGCTTTCTGAATTAAGAGTTTGTTTGCATTCAATTTCTTATACAGGTACAAGTGTACACAATTAAAGCAGTTAGTCTCTTGCTTGAATGTCTCTTTCTATTGCTAAAGTAGCTGTACCTTTACTTTCTCATTTTTCTGTGTACAGAGTTTTGGACACTCAATAGTGGTCCATTTCTATGAGATGCTTTTATGTTAGAATAGTGAATTTTATATTGTATCATATGCAGCCTTATGCTGGAGCCCTTTTGTTCTATACCAATGATATGGATAATTCAAGAAGATGACCTTGCAAAGCGTCTCCCAATTTATGAGGAGATGAGATGGGATCACATCATTACAGAGTGGAGAAGTGCTTTTGGCAGGGCTGATGTTGTTGTATTTCCAGATTTTTCTCTGCCAGTAAATTCCACTCTTATCAAAATTTTCTTTATTACAAATACATATCTTTTCTTCTTAATCCATCAATCTTTTCTTCTTAATCCATCAATGGGACAGTTGAATGTCATTTCTCAGTTTTTTCTATCCCATGCAGATGTTACACAGTGTGCTTGATACTGGAAACTTCTTTGTAGTTCCTGGATCCCCAGTGGATGTTTGGGCTGCCGAGAGCTATGCTAAGTCCCACTCCAAATATCAATTAAAGAAAGACAATGGATTTCATAATGATGATCTGGTGGTTCTTATTGTTGGGAGTTCTTTCTTCTACAATAAGCTATCCTGGGACTATGCCATGGCCATGCATGCCATAGGACCTCTTTTGATCAAATTGACAAGGAGGAAAGAGGAAGGAGGATCATTTAAATTTGTCTTCTTATGTGGAAACTCAACTGATGGATATAACGATGCTTTGAAGGTAAGTGGCTACCAATCTGTTTCTAATGTTGATGCTTTTTTCATATACTAGCTATCAAACTGAAGATGCATATCTTATCATAGATTGTAAGAAACAACATAGTAATATGGTAATCTGTTACTAAGGAGGTCATATGTGAAAAACAAAACAAAATCATAGGAAAAATAAATATGAGCATCAATAGTTGTATGGGATATCCTAGGAGGAAGCCTAGGTAATAATATTAGATATAAGAATTGATAATGGGAGTCATGCAGTAATTTCATTATTTTCATTGGTAGAAAATTCCCGTGGAATGGAGGGGTATTCAGAGATGAGGAGGAGAAGATAAGAGCCTCGTTCTCAGGCCCAGCTGGCGTGGGGGATTCTCTCATGTCAGGTTATGGCTATGATAGGAGTACAAAGGGCAAGACTGCTGAATATCAGAAAACTATTTATTGAAGGAGATTCAAAGCTGGTAGTGGGATGGTTAATGAGTAAAGAAATGAAGCTGTGGCACTACGACAGTGTAAAGAAAAGGTTTAACTGGTTGACCAAAGATATGGAAGTGAGAATACAATGGGTCAAGACTGCTTTGCTGATGTATTGGCAAAGCAAGGAGTGGGAAGAGAAAATATATTCTGCGTGCAACTGTAAAACTATAACTTGGGGGGGGGGGAGATCTGAGAGTTTATCTCCCATTCTTTTGTATTTTTCTGTACACATATTTCTTAATATTAATGAATTTGCAGTTATTAATAAAAAAAAATCCCATGGAATGGATAAATGGTTGTTCTCCCTTGTGAAGAATCCATTTTGTATCAAATAAGTTTCTGACTAAAAAATGGAAAAAAGGACCAATGTAGAGGATGTTTAGGAGTTAATGTCCATTTGTTGATCCCTGGTCCAAACCTACATGATATAAAAATAAAAATGTTCACCGCTCTCAAGGATCTCTAAAACAATCATGTATCCAATTCCCTTCCATGCTTAAGCAGATTGTATATAGTTCATTATACTTTCATCTTTGTTCCTTGGAAAAAATGATGCTCTTTATGCAGGAACATAGTTGATTTAGTTCATTTATATTTTCATTTCTCCTGGATGTGTTATTATGACCTTATCACAGGAACCCTACTGTCTTCTTTATTCCCTTGTTGCTAACTATATGCTTCTTTGGAATGCCAACTGATCCTATATGCTTTTGGTGCAGGAAGTAGCTTCCCACCTAGGACTTCCTCATGATTCTGTAAGACACTATGGCATTGATGGTGATGCAAATAGCATTTTATTAATGGCTGACATTGTTCTCTATGGGTCCTTCCAAGATGAACAAGGTTTTCCTCCATTACTGATTCGAGCCATGGCCTTTGGAATCCCTGTGATTGCACCAGATATCCCTGTCATAAAAAAATATGTAAGTTTAGGCTGTGGTTTATCTTATCCTTGGAAATTTTTACCAAAGAAACAGGTGGTATTTTTTTACTATTTTTCTTACTTTTCTCTAAACAAATTATGGACTTACAGGTTGTTGATGGTGTCCATGTCTTAATTTTCAAAAAGAACGACCCTGATACATTGTTGAGAGCTTTCTTTCTTTTAATCACAAATAGGAAGCTATCTAAATTTGCTCTCACAGTTGCTTCCTCCGGAAGGCTGCTTGCTAAGAACATGATGGCATCAGAATGTATAGCTTCTTATGCATTGCTTCTGGAAAATATACTCCACTTTCCATCAGATGCATTACTTCCCCATCCTATTTCTCAGCTTCAAGGTCATTCATGGGAGTGGAACTCTTTTAGGAATGCAATGGAGAGGGGCACTGAAATTCTTAACTTTGATCAGAATAGTAGTTCCAGGAGAAAAATAAGTATTGTACGTGTCCTGGAGGAAGAATTTGCTAGCCACAACAATGTGCAGAATATTCCAGACAATGAAACTGGGATTCTGACACAGGACAGCCTCACCCAGCTAGATTGGGATGTTTTGAGGAAAATGGAAAGCTCTGAAGATTTTGAGAGGCGAGAAATAGAGGAGGTATGGTGATTGTTTCTTCCTCACTTTTCTTTCTTGTTTCCAGGGGAAAAAACTGAAGCAAAGTATTATGTCACAATCTGTAGCTTGAAGATAGGATGGAGAAAGATTCCAGTTCATGGGATGAGATATACCGCAATGCCCGGAAATCTGAAAAACTTAAATTTGAAGCAAATGAAAGAGATGAAGGAGAGCTAGAAAGAACAGGACAACCATTATGCATTTATGAAATTTACAGTGGAGCTGGAGCCTGGCCATTTTTGCACCATGGTTCTTTGTACCGAGGGTTAAGTCTAGTGAGTTTTCCTGGCACTAAAACCTGCATGACCAATATATCTGTGATTCTTCTTGTGTATTTATTATCTCATGGATGTTATATCCTATTCAACTAATTTCAGTTAGATGTAACTGTATGCTCCTGAAGGATCACTTGTTCTGGTCTCTTTTATTCTCCACATCACATTTTTTCCATATAAATCTGGTTTCCTTGAGCTCCTCTTTGGTTACTCAAACTTGGTTTTAGTGTAGCTCATCTGACAAGTAATATTCTAAGACCTTGTGCCTTTCTTGTGGCTTATGTTTGTAGGTATTTTAATTGAATACTCTGATTTTTTGAGGGTCTACAGATCTATGGAACACTTGGTTTTTAATGTTCTTTTTTCTTTTTGATCAGTAATTTGTAATGAAATATAAAAATGGCCTAGCAACAGGAATTGCTTTGAAGTATACCACCCTCTAGGCACAAAACAAGAAACCACCCAGAAACAAAATCTCTGCTTCAACCCTTTAAACTCATTGAGAAGTAGCCTCATCAATTAAGAATCAACATGTACCTGCATGAGAAACTAAAGGCCTTGCTGTGTTTTCAAAAATTTTCCTTGTGAGTTCTTTGACTTCTTTCCTCATGGACCATTGCTTGGTAAAATGGTAAAACCTCGGGATGACAAGCATGATAATGCAGGTTTAGGTTTGAGAGTGGATACTTTGTGCATGAATTTCCAAAGATTAGGTCCGAATCCAGTCCACCCATCCCAAGACCCTGGATAAGCTGGGACCAACAATTTTTTTTGGTTGCTAAAATTTGTAACTTAATTGATATTTATGTTAAAGAATGATATACAAGATTTGCCAAGTGCCCCATATTTGGGCTAGCATCAGCATCACTGCTTTACTCCCTTCTCTTATGTTGATATTTACATTACACAGATCCAACTTGGGTTACTTCCCCTCCAAATGGCTGATTCCCAACTGCCCCTTGTCTTTCTAAATCATCAGCAATACTGTTGGCTGATCTTGTAATCCAGTTTGTGGTGTATTCTCAACTCCGTTACCAGATGTTTTATCTCTCTCAACACATGTCTATATTTCCATGAATCCTCCATACTTTTATTTTTTTGATGAATGACTGAAGAAATTTATTGACCACAAAAGGTAAGAGTTACAAGCATCCCAAGAAGAGGCACGAGGTGTGACCTCTTCAGAAAAAAACTAAAGACAGTTTTTCAAACAGAATTTGAACAGGTTACAAGGTAGTCCAATACAGACAGTCCCGAGATGCCCCTTGTTTGGCTAATGAATCGGCTAGAGCATTTGCCGATCTTCTCACCCACTGAACACTAACTGTCATGTTGCTAGTTGGTCAATTCACTTTTTTGAGGAGATCTCTATAACCCCAAATGGCAGAATCCGGGTTCAAGAACCATCCCACCACCACCTGAGAATCACCTTCAATTAATAAGTGCTCCTCCATACTTCTGTGATTAAGCTAAATCTCATTTCTAAAGACTAATGTCTTGCCAAATTTAAGTAAATTTCTGGAATATGCAGATATTTTCATATTGTAATTTGTTAATAGATACCACTTTATATATTTCAAAAGTGTTAACGCTAGAGTGCATCTAGAAGTAGCCTTGCAGTGGCATGTAAAGTTATCCAGGCATTGTTGCATGAGAGCCTCCTCCCACAAGATTTTTGTAATGGAGGGATTTGGCCAATCTCATTCCTTATAAGTGCCAAGAATTCAGCTCATGTAGAATCACCAGATCCAGTTGATTTTGAGAACAATGCAAGAATCCCTAAAAAAACCTCTGATAAGGAGATTTTAACCATTTTTTCTTTGTCCTGTAAGGTGAAGGTTATTTGGTTTTCTTAGATACTAAAGATGATGAAATCTTGCACTTTCATGTACTCTTAGTTTGTTCTTACTTTCTAATCTTCTTCTTATCAGTCTGCAAATGCCCGGAGATTAAATTCAGATGATGTGGACGCAGTTGGCCGTCTTCCAGTCCTAAATGATACATATTACAGAGATCTTATCTGTGAGATCGGAGGCATGTTTTCTATTGCAAATAGAGTGGATAACATTCACAATATACCTTGGATTGGTTTTCAGTCATGGCGTGCTGCTGGAAAGATGGTATGTTTTTTTGGAGGTCTATCATTAATGCTACGCTGTCTATGGATCTAGCACATGTCATTTTAGATTGCATGATTTGTATCATTTGAGTAAATTACTCTCTGTCTCTCTCTCTCCAATTACCTCTTTACTGACGTTGGGGTTGTGGAGTTGCTTCTCACCTCTTTTAGTATTCTATTCTTGTTGCTGGATATTTTGACCTGTACTGCTAAGATTTTGTAGGGAGAAGTGTTCAATATGAACCCTCTAGATGTCCAGAAACTTGAAACATACCCATATAGACCAATGCAAAGTTTAATTAGAAAACGCAAAAGAAAACAAAAGAACTCGTGAGACTCTTGTGTATCTGCAGTTTCCTTAAGCCATCACAATTTTTTTCTTTGCTGATGTCAGGGTTGCTTCTCATTTCTTTTATGAATCTAATTCTTGTTGCTCAACATGAACCCTCCACACATTCAGAAACCTAAACATACTCATATAAACCAATGTGAAATTTAATCAGAAAAAGCAAAAGAAAAAACTGGAAGTCATGAGACTCTTGCATGTCTTCACTTTCCTTAATCCGTTTTGCTACCTTTTTTTTCCTTTTGTCTCTGGTTAATGTTAAATATCCTTGAGGTTGCTATCTTACTTTTGGGTGATTTAGAAATTTGAGGCTTAAAGCTTCATGTGTTATTTCTTTTGAGAACAGGTTTCCTTGTCGGTTGAAGCTGAAGAAATATTGGAAAGAACTATACAAGCAGAAACTAAAGGAAATGTTATCTATTACTGGGCCAGGTTGGATCTAGACAGTGGAGTTAAGGAGGGCAACGATATGCTTTCATTTTGGTCTATTTGTGACATATTGAATGGTGGGCAGTGCAGGTATGCTATATCATTTTTTTTTTGGAATTTGTACCATATAATAATGCTTATTAAGTGGGCATGGGTGGGGGAGTGGTGCTTTAAGGTGGGTGATATTTTTTCAATTTTCATGCATGTGCCCTTCTGGGGTTTGGGGTTGAGTTGGTGTTTTGTTGTTCACTTTTCACAAATATTTTTAAATGCATAGTTGTATGGCTGCAGCCAACCAAAAGATGAATTTTTCTTCGATCCTTAACAACCTGCTAAAGAAGTTGCTTTGATTTGCAGAACTTATTGGGGCAAAATAAAATACACAATTGTTTTTTGATAAGTAACAGGGTAAAAATATTCATTCAATACTAAATTGCACACAAAGTATGCTGCAAAAGAAGTATACAACATTAGGCCTTCCAAGAGAGGTCTCACCACAATTAACAGCAGAAACAAAAACAAATGACAGCAACTGATTACATAGTACAAATTAGCATCCGGTCCTGGGCATCCCCAATCTAAGCAAACTTTTCCAACCCCAGCCTTAGCCAAAGAATCAGCTATCGTGTTGGCACTCCTAGGCACCCACTTGACTGAGGCATTCAATGCAGCACCTATAGCTTGAGCAAGTCTGGCTAAAGGTCTAAATTTGCATGGGATTTGACTTTGACCTGTCATCCAACATAAAACCACTTGATAGTCACCCTCTACTTCCACATTCCTTAAATCCTGCCTAGCCAACAACTTCAAACAATGAACCATGCCAGAAGTTCACCCCTCGAGAATCCCTTGGCCCACCAGAACTGAAAAGCTTATAATGATACTGCCCCCATGGTCTCTAACAACTCTCCCCACTCCTGACTCCCGAGGGCCCTGGATTTCCAAGGCTGCAGTCGTCAAAGTTGAGTTTGAGCATCTCTATATCAGGAAGGGACCAATAAATCACCCTTTGTTGTCTTGGAATCTGAAACTCCATCACCATCTGCCACTCCCTAAGCAAATCATTAACAGAAACACCTTGAAATGCCCCACAGATCACAGCCCAATGAGGTACCCTTACTTTTGTAACTTAAAACACTTCCTCCACTTGTTTGCACCTTTCTTAAAAAATCCTCACATTTCTTTCACACCGTAAACCTCAAAGCACCTCCCCACGCATACATTGCCAAGCAATCTTTTGCCTTTGTGTAGAGCCTCCAAAAACATCTGTTTTAAATAGGTCTACTACTGCAGCTGGTGCCACCCAAGTTTTTCCTAACAATAAGAAGAAAAGCTGCCACCGTAGAAGCATAGGAACAATGTAATAATTAGATGGTTAGTATTTCCCCTTCTCTTCAAGCAAAGAACACACACACACACACACACACGAGGAGAGAGAGCCTAGTATTTTCATTTCCTTTGGAGCCATTCATGGTTGTTGATGATTTGGTTGATAGCTTCCCAACAGAAAATCTTTACTTTGGGGGAGTCAGGCTGCACCAAGCCTCTTTAACTGGGAAAGGTTGAGACTCTGTAAGGGGAAATAAGGATTTAAAAAAGGAGGCACAAGTAAAACATCCATTGGTATTAGGGATCCAAATTCTCTCATCATTCCCTGATGAGGACAAATCAAAGTTTTCAAGTAGGGTTACAAGAGAAACCAGCTCGTTTGTTTCAAGATCCCTTAAAGGCCTTCTTAAACCCAAGTCCCATACTCTACACTGCTCTCCTAAGGTTGCCGTATCCACAATTAGTCTATTTTTAGAACTGGACAGTCTATAAATTCTCGGAAAAGTTTGACAAAAAGGAGAGTCCCCCCAAGTATCTTCTCAAAACTTCACACCTTGCCCTGTAACCACATAATACCTTATTCTTTGCATGAAGGCAGGCAATAAGTCAGCTTTGCACCCCTGGTAGGCCCCAAGTCCCATCCATTTTGGTGCAACCCATGGATGCTCTTGATCACCAAATGCCATAAAGCCTCTCTTTCTTTTGGAAGCCTCCATAACCATTACCCTAACAACGCCAAATTCTTTTTCTTGAATCCTTTCCTATTTCTAAACCTCCCAGTTTTTTAGATTTGCACACCTCTTCCCAATTCAATAAATGATTACTCTCCTTACCACCTTACTTGGAGCCCTAAACACAGACAAGAAATAGATTGGGAGATTACACAATGTGGATTTGATCAAAATAACCCTCCTCCCTTTGGAAATGTAGTTCTTTTTCCAAGAAGCCAGCCTTTTCCCAAACCTTTCAATAATACTTTCCCAGAAAGTCTCTTCTCTTGGATTGCCTCCCAAGGGCAAACCTAAGCATTTAATTGGTCACTCCTTTATTTCACAACCTAACACTACCACATACTCTTCCAATTCCACCCGCTCCATTCCAAAGCCTGCCAAACTACATTTTCTCAAATTGACTTTCAAGACTGAAACTATCCCTACTAATTCAATATCCTCTTTACAGTCCTGACATCTTGAACCTCCCGGAACTCACTTAAAACTAAAGTATCATCTGCAAATTAAAGATGAGACACAACTTGGCTTTCCCTCCCTATTCTAAAACCTCTGAAGAATTTTGTGACATAATGCACTCTCCTATGAGAGTTTTATGTCACAAATTTGTGTTTGGTCTTCCCATCATTAATAAGGTTCTCATTTTGTTCCTTCCCAGACAAACGAGGAACATAATTTCATTTTATTTCTAAATGCATGCAGAGCTGCTTTTGCGGATGCCTTCCGTCAGATGTATGACTTACCTTCACATATTGAAGCTCTGCCTCCCATGCCTGAAGATGGTGGTCACTGGTCTGCACTTCATAGTTGGGTGATGCCAACACCGTCCTTTATGGAATTTGTAATGTTTTCAAGGTAGGTTGTAGATATCTTGGCAATGTCTCTCAAACTGAGGTTATGTTCATCAGTTTATGTTTTGATAGTTTTCACTACTGGATTACAGGATGTTTCTCGATTCACTTGATAGCTTGGGTATTAATATGAGCAGGACTAGTACTTGCTTTCTGGGATCCTCAGAGCTTGAGGTAAGCTACATGACCTCCTAACTATCATAACTTGAGGATTTTGTTTGGTTATTAAATTATTGGTGGTTTTATGATAAATAGAAAAAACACTGTTACTGCCGGATGTTGGAGCTCTTGGTTAATGTCTGGGCTTACCATAGTGCACAAAAGATGGTTTATATTGACCCACACACTGGTCTGCTTGAGGAACAACATCCTATTGAAGAAAGGAAGGAATTTATGTGGACAAAGTACTTTAACTTTACGTTATTAAAGAGTATGGATGAAGATCTGGCAGAGGCGGCCGATGACAATGACCCTCCAAGGGAGAGATGGCTTTGGCCACTAACAGGGGAAGTGTATTGGCAAGGAATTTATGAGAGAGAAAGGGAGGAAAGGTATAGGCAAAAGATGGAAAAGAAGCTTAAGACGAAGGAGAAATTATTGTACAGGCAGAAGTATGGATACAGTCAGAAAACACTTGGACTATAGGAAGCTCAGTTCTCATCGAGGTCTTAACACTAACCAATTATGTTACCCAGAGTTGGAACTCATTTTTACCCACCTAGAAAGTTCATGAAGATTGAAGAGGTATACATTCTTTCTCTAACAGTTAACAGCCAAACAGTGCGTGATGATGGAGGCCTTGTTCATATCCTTTTCTGCATCTTCGATTTCACGCTCCAATGGAGTGGAAATGAGTCATAAAAGAAGCTTGAAGCCAATGGAATGATCTTGGTAGTTGGTTATTTCAAGCGATTAAGAGGCCACGAGGTAACCGAGGAGCAGATAAAATTTTGTTTGCCAGGTTTTTACTTCTATTCAACACACTTTTTAGAGTTTAGACACGAATCAAGTTGTAATTCTTTCATCATTGTATATACAACCAACATTTTTAGAGGCAATTTCAATGGGAATATGAATTCATCTATGCCCTTTGGTGGTTAGCTCGTCCTTGGTCTGTTCTTTATGCGTAATGCGTGACAAGAAATAGATTGATCCCAAGTGAGTCAATGAATTGCTATTACTACGGAAAAGGTTCACTTGTCACTTCATCATCCGGTTATTACCCTGAGTCCTGACAACGCAAGCCAAGCACCTAGTTTTCAACAAGGTTAGCTGTCCCTTGAATCAAGCTCAATGCCCCAAGAGATTTCTTGAATGCCTCATCCTGGCAGAAACCCTGGGTAGAGCATATGAAAGGTATTTAAGCTAAATATCACCGTCAAAGAGCGAAGACCAATTATTTTTCCTCTTCTATTTTTTTTTTTTTTTTACCCAAGACTGAAGTTGGAAAAAAAATAAAATAAATATTCATTCAATTTACTTAATCCACTCATCGCATAATGAGAAAATACTAATAGTCTGAACTCTGAAGTAAAACCTCTAAAAAATTTGTGGCCAAAGCCATACAACCCACATATTAACAATGCGCCTCTTGAAAATGCATTACAAATACTCTATTCAGACCAAAATTTCACGAAGGCATCGATAAATGCTTTAAGCACGGCCCAAATTGGATTAGTTTCTACCCCTGCAGATCTCTTTGGTGCTCCTTCCCATGATTCACTGCCCAAAGAAATACATTAAGGAAATGATTAATGTTAGAGCAAGACAACTTGTCTCAGAAGGATAGCTCCTGAAACAGCCAGAATTCTGAATGATGAATCTCTCTGAATTTAAATTACATGTAATAATCATATATTTTACAGGGTTTTAAAATCTTACTGTTGAATACCAGCTTTTCCTCCAATTACCACTGTTTCTTGCGAGAGTACCTCTCCAGAACTACTGCTGGTACTAATAGAGTTGACATTCTGGGTACAAACTTGATTCGGAGCAAGCTTAGGCTGCAAAGACACAATAGCAAGTCAGCATAGTTCTCCAATATTCAATAAATATATAGGGTGCATGCCAGATTATTCAATTGGTAGGCCCAAATATTAAATGGTGCACATGCTGAAAAAACATACCAACCGGGAAAGCCTATACAGTCCAATCTGATTTAAAGTGATGATGGTTTATAGACAGAAAAAAGGCTCATACAAAAGATGAAATAGGATTGTTCCACAACTATGATTGTGATTAAATGACTCATCCCAGAGTTGGTTCACCAGAAGAATGTTCATAATCCACTTATCATTGTCTAAATCATGGGATCCAGAAATGCAGAATAAGGCAAGAAGTTAAGAGCATTTATACTTCCATTTTCACCACTCTCTTTGTATAGAGAATGGGCTAGCAAGTATAGAATACTGCACACAAGACAGAATATATGATATAGGATAAAAGGGAAATCGTACCAAGACTCACCTCAATTTCCTGGTTTTGAACAGGTTGGGGCAAGATTAGGACATTGCTACCTGATATGTTAACTAGGTCCGTTCCCTTGAGAATACCATTGTCAATGCTCTGTACAATTACAGAGCTTCTTAAACCTTCCTTCATTGGATCTTCAAAGCATGTTGTAGCATCTACACCAATCGAATTGGTAGAACATTGTTCCTTTGAGTCCATACTCTGCAACATGGCACTGGCACAGCCTGGTGCATCTTCGACCTTACTTTCCTGTTCCTCCAGATCTCCAGTTAAGTTCCTTGTTTCTTGTGACCTTTCATCTATGCTGTAAGTTGGCTTACTAACAGATCTCAATGGAAAGGTTTCTACTATGACATCTGTTGCTATAGGAGTTATTTTAGCAGTAGATGCATCTAAATGATTTTTCACTTTTTCTACTATAGCAGCTGCTTTTGCAGTAGGTGGTTCTAGAACATCTTCCACTCCCAATTTCTCACTCACTTGCACCTCTATATGCACAGGTTCATCATCCATTGGTACTCTGACTTTTCCTTGCTCTGACGACTCCCTTCCATTAAATTCTTCATGCTTTTCCTCCATATAATTCCCATTAACATATTTCCCATTCATTTCTGCTGCCATAGGAGCTACTTTTGCAGAAGGTGGTTCCAGAGCATCTTTCATTCCTCCCAATTTCTCACTCACTTGCACCTCTATATGAATAGGTACATCGTCCATTTGTTCTTTGAAATTTCCCTGCTCTAAGGACTCCTTTCCATTAAACTCTTCATGCTTTTCCACCATATAATTCCCATTAACATATCTCCTATTGGCAGCACACTTATCTTTATGATCAGTAGCTTCTCTCAAAGTTGAAACCAGTTCTCTACTAATAATCTGATGATCAATGGAAACAAGAAGAGGTTCATTTGATGATGTCGAAAAATGAAGTTGAGGTTCTGTAGAAATTGATCCCAGTGGATACTGTTTGGAGAATTGATCACTGCCTTGCTCTTCTGAAATCAACTTAGCAGGGCCTAGTACCCTATTTTCCTGGATTATTTCTCGGACAATTTCCCGGACAGTGTAGAAGGATCCACCAACCTCCTTGTGTGTGAGATTGAGAGAGGGGAAATTCCCATTGTTTGAACTTTGGTACCTAAAAGCAAGTTAAGACTAAAAAAGTGAATCTCAGACTGATTTTTAGAAAAAAACAAAGTCAGGACAAAATATTGGTTGATCAAACTACTTATCAAAAAAATTCCAATTAAATATTCCAGGAAGTTGCTGCATGTTAAACATTTGTGTCAAAACTAATTATCAAATGCAACTTAAGCTTATTAGGGAAAAAAGAAAGGATAGACTGGTATTTTGCTGGTTTATTAGGGAATAATGATTACAGTTTATAACTAGAAGTAGAAGGTACTTAACAATGAGAAACTTTAATTAATTTGATTGTAGATATAAAGGGTACAGGAGTAGAGTAGAACACTAAGGTATATGCAATAATTCATCATAAAAGCACCAGAACAAACAAATAAAATTTTTCTCAACTTTATTACCTCATGAATAATAAACATATCATTTGGACCAGTAACAGATGAACTGCATTATAAACTAAGGACATTTTTCTAAAATTATACATGGGAAGTCCATTTAACAAAAGATTAGAACCATCTAATGCAGCTGAGCCTTTTTTTTATAAATTTTTATAAATAATACAGCTGAGTTTTAGTAGGCCATAGAGTTGAGGAACAAATTGAAATGCAAGAGTCTCTCTTCCTTATACTATACTGCATCATTAAGTACCACCAGAACATCTAGAGCTTTTTCCATGAGAAACTGAAAGAACTAGTGGGCATGGTTGCCAAGTAGCCATGCTGCAAATGAAGTTAGGATCTGAAAAAAAAACATGGAAATTACTTCTTTATGAAGGATTCAACCATGGCCTTCCTTTCCTCCTTTGACCGCCGAACCCGGGACTTCTTCTCTCCAGAATCACTGCACTTTGCCAAGGCAAATGTTTGCCCAACCCAGCTAACCTTTACAGTATGCATGATGATGAAAGCTCACCAGGTTTCCAGACCCAAACCTACAGGTAACAAAGAACATTAGGAAGGTCCTTAGGGATAGAGATTATTGTTTAGTAACCAGTTTCTTCTTTTTTATGAAAAGCGGTAATAGAACCATGGTGACCTTTGTTGGATCCTATATGGATATCTGATGCAACAAATTTAAACAGACTGGTCCTTCTTACTTACATTCAAATTGAACTCATTTTAAATGTAAAGAGTAGAAAAGCAATACTGAATACCTTGCAATGAAATGGTAAAAGTGTGAAGTTATGCTTTTTGCCCCTAATACATTGAAACAAGCTTAGTTTCAGGGGAATGTGCGTGTATCAGGCAAAGTAGGAAGCTACCTACTTCCAACACAACATGCTCCCATGTGAAGGAATGATATGAGCAAATCTCAACCATTCATTGGTTGGGTACTCTTTGGTAATTGGTCACATTATCAATCCCCCGGTCCATATCAACCCTGTTCCCAACTTGCATCAGTTATTCTCCCAAGTGATATTATCCAAACTTGGTTTTAATTTTTCAATTTAAAAACTTCCCTCATAAACGGACTTATTGTGGATGTAAGGATATATCTTCCAAACTGAAATTTCCCTTAGGATAGAGGGTGCAAAGGCAAATTTGCATCCTTTTGTGACCAAAATAACATTGCCACACAGAAGATTCCTAGAGTTCTTTTTTTCCTCCTTTCTCTTTCAGCAACAAAAAGGAAAATCTTCCTGGTTTGCTTTGTTGAGCATCTAATGATATCATCTACAAGGGTACAACAGGACACTGAAGCTCAAACACCAACTTGCAAAAACTTGAGTACACAAAAGGGTGAAATAAATCTATTGCATGATAATACAAGCAGGACAATTTATAGTATGAATTAATCATCCTTTCAGAGGTATTGGACATATATTCTAGCAAGTAAGAGAAATATATTTAAAGTAGAGATTATTGCTTCTTTAGATGAACAATCAAAATTATACGCAGCCACTCTAGAAGAAGGAATTTGCAGACATCCCAGAAACTGAACTAAAGCACAATAAAAGAATCAGATTGCAAACATAATAGTTGAAGTAAAAGAAGTAACAGGAGGAAAACATATTTTTATATCCCTTTTATATTGAGAAAAGGTAATGTATTGTATTAAAAAGAAAAAAACACCACCACGCACACAGCAAGAAACTATGTATACACTACCTCCGCCTGTACAAAAGGTATGGCTCAAAACATTACAAAAATAACAAATCGGAACTCAAAATTGAGCTGTATTGTATATCTGTAGAACTTCTGTTCACTGCAACCCAAGAGTGAGTTCTACCCCATAGTTTCTTTGCAATTATATCTTCTGATTTCTCCAAAGCTTCAAAACTTCTGGCGTTTCTTTTCATCCACACAGTCCAAAATATTGCCAGAGGAATCACTTTCCAAACTACTTTCCCTTTCTACTCAGACCCTAAGCCCCAGCACAGATCCTGTAAAACAAAAGCGTAGCCCAAAAATGTTTAAAACTATGGATTACAGTCGTCTAGCAGAACAACAATGCAAAAATACGTGGTCAACAGATTCCACCTCCTCGTTACAGAAGACGTAGTTAGCGCTATTAATTAGGAACACCCCCCCCCNTCCACCAGCATAGCACCATCTCCATTTTCTTTTATATCAACTCCATTCTCAGTCTTCCTATGCCAAAGTGCAGTTGTGTTTATATGGAAAATATCATCTCCGACCTTAAGCCAAGTGTCCAACCCAAACGCTCAGCAAAGACAGTGCACCTACGTACTAGAGAGTTTTTGAGAAAGTGGGCTCCTTACTATAGCCTGGACATTTCAGGCGAAAATCAATCTACAGAGATGAAAGAAATCATCCAGAACATGCATTCCTTTGGAGGGAACGGCCATGACGAAGAGGAGATAGAAGTCATCTAAGGTAGAAATATTCCAAAAAGAAGTAGAAAAAAGTAGTATCTTTCACAACCCACCGAAACACACACACACTAGAGAGAGAGAGAAGGGAAGAAAAATTCCGAGAACCCAATTATATCTTAGTAGGCGGAACTTCAAACTGAGCATCTATATCTCAAGTTTCAACAGGAACAAACAACAAATAAAGAGATAACGAACATCCTAAGAACACTAGCGTTACTAACATTTCTAGCTGGATAACGGTAAAGTACTATAGAAACCATAGTATTTCAAATGCATAAACAGATTGAGCAGAAGGAAGACAGATGGTTGCGCAGGCTTGATTCATACCTAGAAAGAGAGAAACCCTCGACCGGGAAGCGACAGAATAGTGACTACCCGACGCACAAAAGGAAAACGAGAGAGCGAGACTTATATATGTTGGTGGGTTGGGAGCGGGAAGCAGTCAGCAAGTCAGCCGGGAAGATGAAGTTTCATGTTCATAATTCACCATTAACTAATTAAATGATTTTTTTTCTGATAGAAAACTAAGTTAATGAATAAAGAATACTAAACCCATTTCAAAATGAGATGAGACACGCTTAAACAACAGTCATGATTCATGATGTCCAGTTCTGTGTCCTAACTCCTGAGTATGAGAAAAAATGAAAAAATGACGAGAAAAACTGTCAAGTTAGATCTTGTAAATTGTTTGGTTGTAGGATCGTTTTTCCTTTTCCGATATTGTCACATCAGGTGATTTCCCAAATCGCATAAAAAATAAATTATACATGATGTTTAATACCATTAACGATTCGTCCCATGAGATTTCTGAAGAATTGCCGATTTTTAGTATGGTTGGTTTCTCAAAAAATCAGAAAAATATTTGTTTAGGACACAAGAAAAATCATCAAAAATGAGGATTACTCTTTTTGGCATGATTTTTAATTTTTTATAGTCCTTTTTAAGCGATTCATCAATTTCTTATAAACCGGCCAACCAAACTACGGAGAAAACATCAAACTTTATGCCCGATTTTTCATAATTATTTTTTTAAGCGATTTCTCAAAAATTGGCCTACCGAACACCGAAGGAAACATTGATTTTTGAATCGTTGATGTAATTCTAAGTTTCTAACGTGACACCAATTAATCGGCATCGAAATCAAACATGTTGTTATTTTATGAAGCGTCTGTTTGGCATTGATGTTGTTGCTCCAAAAAATAGTGGCACATCAGAACCACGTTGGAAAAAATAGTGATCCAGAAAATGTCAATATGTTTGAAATCATTTCTCATGGAAAAATAATGTTTCAAGTCACACCTTAGAAATCGAGAATGTGTGGTTTGGAGTAACGCCGAATTCAACGTTTTCTCATATTGGAGATTGTTGCTGCTAGCGAGGAATGATACATATCAGCCGATACAAGTTGATACATGTCGATACTTTGAACCTTAAATGTTGTTGTTGCTCCAAAAAATATCTTACCTAACAGCAACATTTTCAAAAAAAACAAAAAACTGTTTTCTCTGAAAATGATGCCTCCAACCCACACATATAGGAAACGGATTTTCAACAAATCAAAATCAGAGTATTAAGGGGTAATTTTTGAATTGATTTCTGACATGGCAGTAGGTCAGTGACATATCGATCCCAATAATGTAAGAATGTTGTGGCAATTGCATGTTTTTTTACAAGTTATTTGTAATTTTGTACCAAACACATTTTTTAACAAAATCAATGATTTTTCAAACGGTTCTAAACTACTGATTCTTGAAAGGCCATCAAACCACAGGTATATACCACGTCCATGTAAATTAGACCAAATTCAAAAACATAAGCCTGATACTCATTCCCATCTTGAAAAATTCTGAAGGTGGATGAAATGACTGAATTGAATGACTTTATCCTTTTGTCTTTTAGTAAGTTACTCATGAATAATGAGCTATTTAATTTAGAGATTTTTACCACTTCATCTCAGAATTCAGATTTGAATTGTAGACCTACAACAATTCAAATTCAGTTTCAGCCTTTTAATTTAATGGCTAAAACTGAAAGTTGGTTGATTATTATGTCCTTGAATACTTTATTATTTAATTATTTTATCTACCATACCTTTAGCAATGCCAAAGTATAGAATTATAATATTATCATTGGGGGCCTATAAATATATTAATGGCATAGAATATTATCATTCGTTCCACAGTCAGCTAAACAGCCATCGGGTTCAGCTAATCCGAATTAGTTTCTAACTAACTGTAATAAAGCTCAGCAGCCATCGGGTGGAAGGTGCTGGGTCTGGGTCTGGTTACCCGGGCTTTTGATTGAGTACAAAGGCCGGTTTATGAGGGCTGAGATGAATATTCAGCTAAACTGGTTCAGCTGCTCCAAAGCACTCTGAACAAACTATTCAAAAACGCTGAAACTGACATCCATTCAAATGATTGACTGACAACGGCTTTACACTCTTGAGATTTTTCAACAAACATAGCATACATGGTTGGGCCCGCCTCCTAAGTCAGAAAGCCAGAACCCACAGGACCACAGCCACTGCAGCTTCAGCCCTCCCAAACGGCCACTAGACTAGACTAGACTGGACGAGGCCAAACTCCAAATAGAATTACCAGATTTGATCATTTGAAGCCCCGGCAGCATCTGGGACACAACTATCTGAAAATCCCCTCACGTAGCCGCTTCGTTCCCCATTCAAAGATGTCAAATAAGACAACCCCCCCCCTCCTTTCACATGGTACTAGCTCATCCACCATTTCGTACTTTCTATCCATGGTTCAAAGTATCAATAATGGCTATGGGGCTGCAAATAAGTCGGATCAGATTTAATACCGATCCTTTAAGAAGTGGATCAGAAAAGCCGACTCCAACAACTTGAATCGGATCAGAAAAGCCAATCCGTTAACGAATCAAATTCGGATATTGACCGATCTGATCCACTGTGACCTGATCCGATCCAGTAATATATATAAATAATTTATTATATATTTTAAATAATTTTATATGACAAGCATACCCTTTAGTTTTTATTTTAACTAGGTTTTATATATTTGTAACTTTTTTGTTTTATTGTCTATAATTATAATTTGGCTTATAAGCCAAAAACCCTAAACACAGCGCTTGTAGTCTATAACCTGTAACAGCCTTGAGCCTTCATCTTCGGTGCTTGTTATCAAGCAAGTATTTCAACTTCCGACTATTCAACTGCTGGCATGCCCTTGTTCATCTTTGAACGGTCGTGGTCGTTAAACACTTGAATTCGAACCTCTGTGGCTGAGTGGCTCTGTTATTTCATCAATAGCAGCGTCATCGGGAACACCACCCTGTGCTGGAAACTAGCGCATCTCCCTTTTTCGCTGTCTCTCACTCTTTGATTCAGCCATTTAAACTCAAAAACAGGAGGTCGGGAAGGTCATTTGTTGCAATCAGCTTCCAATTCCATATCCAGAATTCCAGCCAGCAATCAGGTCATTGCAACCGGTCCACAATTTGTCTTTGAAACTGTAAATCTTATACTCACCGTCTCACTCCCTATTAATCAGACTGTAGATCTTCTAAGTTCTGTTAACAATCGGATTCAAATCGGATATCCGTGGATCAAATTCAAATCAGCCTTTGAAAAATCCACCGAATTATTAACGGATTCGAATCACTAATAAATTTTATCGAATTGAATCGGATATACCTATTACCGAATCTGATTCGATCCGTTTGCAGCCCTAAGCCTAGTAGCTCATCTACCATTGTAAAACAGAGTATTGATGCTTTTACATGGCTTAATACTTGAATTTTTTTTCAGTACAGAGCATATGATACTTTGAACCATGCTTCCGTCCTTTCCCATTTGCCACCCTTCATCTCTTACGGATGTAAATTTTCACCTCGTTTTCAACCTTCCAGATTTGCATCTGTTTTGGGTTTTTGGCATTTGTTTTTTCAATCTTTCCAAAGAATTCATAAACGAGATGATCAGAAATGATCTTTTACAAGATTGTAAATTTTAATTGTTTCCTTTCATCTTCCATTCTGAAAAAAGTAAACCCTTCACAACACCACCCCGTGCATCGCATTGGCTAATGCCAGTTTATCCATACATAGATACATAGATAGACATGATTATTAGATATCTTCCAGTGGTACTGGTACTTACTTGCCTATAGATAACACGTGAGTCCCGCCAGAAGCAAACCAATGCAGTTGGAGAATGGCTGATAATAACCTTGCCTAGCTTCCTAGAATATGCTCAAGTCCTCCCCCAACCTGAAATGCTGCAACCCGGTTTCCTAATGCTACATTATTAATCAGCTGCTGCAGCCACCGCTTGGTAGTTGGATCTTCCTGTAAAACAAATATAAATGAAACAAAAAGAAAGGAATGGAACAAGAGAATTTCACAACAGAGGAATTAAACTATAACATAACCCTGGGCCGGGGTGAGCTAACACTAGGTAATTGATGAAGCCAAAACTACAAGTAACACCAAATCCACAACGGAAAAGGATCACCTGTCATTTTATCAGCATCAGAAATAAATCCCTAGAAAGTAAAAGTGTAAAACATCTATAACACCGAAATAAAAATCTAGTACCAAATCTTGAGCAATGAATTGGACCAGTAGTAACAGTCATACTACTAAATAAGGTAACCATACACATCTTCCGTTTTAAGATGCATCTGGATCACCATCCGAGCTTCCAGACATTGTTCATTTTATTCTCTTAGGAATATTAAGTATTTTAAGTTAATCTATCCACAATTGAAGATTTGGTTTTCTCTATCTGTAGTGAGAACCAAACAACTATGAGCAGAGCAGGCATGGAAATCAAAACTGTAGTGATTGCACCTTCAAAAAGGTTGTACTCTGACTCAGGACCCCACCTAGAGAAGGAATTCTACGTAAACCTGCACCTGGAACAGACAGTGCCTGGAGTACTGGTGTCAAAAACAGTATAGGATAAAAACTACCAAGAGATGGAATATAGAAACCACCTCAAAAGATGGTAGCATCCACAGACAAACCCTCATAAGATTAAACAGGACCTTGTACGGACTCTATATACACCTCCATTACATTGGAGAAATAGATTTCTGATTTAGGTTCATGAACTAGTCATGCTGCTCACTGCAGAGTCACACACAGAGAGAGAGAGAGAGAGAGAGAGAGAGAGTATTAGGGTAGCAAAATGACTGTATTTAGTAAGCTTATCCACCAGAAACAATGCATTTGGACGGTTTAGCATAAAATTGGTTAATGCTGGTGCATAAGCGTCTTGATGTGAGACCCAATCATTGCTATAGACCAATATGTCATCAAAAAACACCAAGATAGTCTCAAGTAAGGTTAGAACATCATTCATTAGAGACTGAAAAGTCAAGGGTGCATTAGTCAAGCCAAAAGGCATAGTAGAAATTCAGTGTCCATCATGAGTTCTAAACTCCATCTTATGGACATCATCCAGATGTGCCCTGATTTGGTGCTAACTGTTGAGTTATTGGGCCAACTTTATTTATTTTTTATTTACATAATTCAGTTAGGTAGTTACAGTGTTTTAAAAGCGCAAGGCGCGCGCCTTTTTGAGGCAAGGCGCACAATTAAAAAAAAAAAAGATAAAAATTCAAAAAATGCAAAAAAAAATCAAAAAATTATAAAACATAATATTAATAAAAATATAAACTTAAGTTTTAAAATAAATGTTTTAAAAAACCTATATAATATGTAAAGCATATCCAAATGAGAAATTTAAAAATGAAATCAAACATACAAAACATTTTCAAGCATATAAAACCTACAATCTCTTTTTTTCTCAATTGGATCAAGTAGCTAATGTGACATTGCATTCCTAATTCTACGAGCCGCCTTTGTGCCATGCCCCTCGAGGCAAGCCCAAACAAGTCCATGTTAGGGTCTTAAACCCAGCCACCAGACTCAAAAAAAAAAAAAAAGGAAAAGGCGGCAAATTTTCAAAAGGCGCACGCCTGGGCTAAGGCGCAAGGCGCACCAGTTTGAATGGGCTGTGCCTAGGACCTGGGCAAGGCGCCCACCCTAAAATGTGCCTCGCCTGTGCGCCTAGTTGCACCTGAGGCGTGCCTTTTAAATCACTGGGTAGTTATGGGGCCTTAGGCCCATTAGTTTATGTTAAGTTAAGTGGTTCTTTTTAGCTTCTTACAAGTAGCCGACCTACTAAGGGCATACTTGTACATTCTTATGAGTATATATAATTAAAAGGAAGGAGACGGCCAGATCTAATTCTTTTGGCTTCCTCTCATTCTCTTCTATTTTCTTCTTCTTTTCTTTTCTAGCAGAAACTTTTCTCTTCTTTCTTCTTTTCATAAATTTTATACCAAAACAGCTATCAGAGCTTTTTCTACTTGGTATCAAAGCAATGTTAAAGACTTCTTGAGCTACTCCATCATGCAGCCCTAGATCGGCCAACTACATGGTGAGGTGAAGGGCTGATCGAAGACCTCAGGTAAGCCTAGTTTTTGGATTTTGTTTTGGTGGTTTGGCAATCCCTTGTAGCTGGTCTAGGGTTTTTCACCAAAATCAGGAAGAACTAGAGAAAGGGAGAAAAAGTCCTGTTTTAGTAGGATTCTTCGTTTTTGACCTAGGAAGTGGTGCCCTAATTTTTTTAGGGTTTCTTGAAGTTTTTTGAAGGGGGTGGTTCAAGTCCCACCTTGTTTGGAGGCCTCTAGAGAGAGTGGCAGCCTCTTCTCTCTCTTCTCTCGCTCCCACCGAAAAAGGAATCTTTGGAGGGAGGAGCTTCTAGGGTACCAGAAGGGTGTTTGAGGTGTCTGAAGGAGATAAATACCTATTTTTTCATCTCAAAGTAATTTCCTAACCCTTTTTTGAGAGTTATGGAGGGCTACGAAGTTGAAAACAAACCTGGAGGTGAGATAGGACAAGGAGGAGGAAGTGTTGGAGACTTTTTCGGGTTTGGGACCATCACTACAGTTAAGTTAGATGGTACAAACTACTTGGAGTGGTCACAATCTGCAAAGATGGCCATTGGTGCCCGTGGAAAATTGGTATATGTCATAGGTGAGGAAGAGAAACCTGAAACTAACTGCTCCCGATGGGTACAGGAGAACTATATGTGAAATTCCATGTTACCCCATATAAGTAAAAACTTTTTATGGGCTAACACAGCTAAGGAAATTTGGGATGGAGTTGCAGAAACCTATTCACAAAATGAGAATGTTGCTACAACCTACCAGTTGAGGAATTAGGTAATTGCTACCAGACAGGGAGATTAGTCTGTTGCTATTTACTTTTCAGCCCTCAAAATCTTATGGCAGGAGATAGATCATTTGGAGAGTGTGGTTTGGGAAAGTAGCAAGGATGAAACAACTTACCAGAAACTATTAGAAAAGAATAGGGTTTTTGAGTTTCTAGCTGGACTCAACCCCGAGTATGGCATTGCATGGCAGCATGATCTTTCCAGAGACAATGTAACTCTCTCTCAGGCATATGCCTTTGTATCAAGAGAGGAGAGTAGGGGGAATGTGATAATGAGGAACCCGGGCCTTGAGCAATCTGTTATGGTTAGCATAGTGAAACCAAATTAGAGTGGAGACAATGGTGGAAATGAACTCAGGAAGGAAGATAAGAAGGATCTGATCTGTGACTATTGTAAGAAGCCTAAACATACCTACTGGAAGCTTTACCCTCACCTTGTGCTGAGCCGACTTAGAAACAAGAAGGGAAATGTGAATATGGCAATAACTAGTGACTTATCAGGACCACCTACTACAGCTTCCCTAGAGTCTGTTGCAACAAATGCAGTGAGGGCCAAACTGGAGAGATATGGGCAGTTACTAAATCAGAGAGATACTGTCAGCCCTAACCCATTATCAGGTGGACAACAAGGTACAGGTGGAACAGGAGGTGGTCATTCTACTTCTTTTGCACATACAGATAGTTCGCATTGCCACTGCAAACTATGCTTCCACTACAGGTAAGGAGGGCCCCCCTTGGATTATAGATTCAGGAGCCTCAAAGCATATGACCAACATTTCCACCATTTTCTCCTCATACCACCTCTGCTCTGGCAGAGATAAGAGTTTCCACGGTTGATGGATCACATGTTCCCATTGTTGGGAAAGGGTCTGTCAAGATAACCGATACCATTTCCCTACCCTCTGTCCTCCATGTTCCTAGACTAAGTACTTTTATCTATTAGTAGTTTGACAAAGAATTTGAATTGTTCAGTAATTTTTTCTCCCGGTCATTGTGTTTTGCAGGATCTAGAATCAAAGAGGACGATTGGGAGTGGTTGTGAGGTGAATGGAATCTACCTTCTTGATGTGCTTCCTAGTCATCAGAGTCATCATGTCAATAGGGATATTGAGTCAAAGTCAGTGGACCAGATTATGCTTTGGCATAATCAGTTAGGGCACTCTTTTACTTCTTTGTGTTTCTTGTTTCTGAAGTTGTTTGAGTCTGTTAATTTGTCCAGTTTAGAGTGTGAAGGTTGTAAACTTGGAAAACATTGTAGACATTCCCTCTATGGGTGGCTATTGGTATTTCCTTCTGTTGGTGGATGATTATTCTCAATATTCTTGGCTATATTTGATGAGATCCCGTGATGATGTGCCATATTTGGTTCGACAATTTCATCAAATGGTGCTAACGCAGTTTGGGGTATGAGTGAAAGTGTTTAGGTCAGACAATGCTAAAGAATATTTTGAAAAAAAAAACCTAGCATCACCTATCAGAGCATGGAGTAATCCATCAAAGCAATTGTTCATACACTCCACAACAGAACGGTGTAGCAGAAAAAGAACAGACACGTTGTGGAAGTTGCAAGAAGCATGATGATGACCTCTACTGCTCCAGTTCGATTTTGGGGTGATGCAGTTCTTATAGCGGTTTTCTTGATTAATCGGGTGCCTTCTCGTATTCTTGGATATAGCACCCCTTTCAGCCTTCTTTTTCCTGAGGGGGAGTTGTTCCATATTCCTCTAAGGGTGTTTGGTTGTGTATGCTTTATCCATGTTCTTGGTCCTCATCGCTCGAAACTTGACCCTAAGGCAAAGAAGTGTGTCTTCTTTGGATATGTGGGAAACCAAAAGGAGTATTATTGCTATGACCCAGTCTCTGGGAGTTGGTATGTTACTATGGATGTTACCTTTTTTGAGTCCACACCTTTCTTCTCGATGGGTTCTTCTCAGGGGGTGTTTTGGGGAAGGAAGTGACAAATCCAATACCACTTCCAGTTCCAGCCCCTTTGTCCACTCCAGTGTCCGACCCTCCTGTTTCACCTACTTTACAACCTCCCTTGCATCCTGTTTCTCAATGTTTTACACGACAGCATCTTCAACTGCATAGGGAGGTTGATT